TTTTTGTGCTGTTGTTTGCCAAAGCTTTCTGCAGTATCTTTATTGACTTGTAATTTTTCTTTCTATTTCCTCAGCTAAACTGTTTTCTTCAATTTCTTTTAATGAATCAATTAGTTTCTTCCATGTAGGATTTGCTGCCTTATCTTTTTTTTTCAGCCAAGCAGCCAACATCTCCATTAGACGATCTTGTACTTTTTCTTCTTCACTTTTAATATTATCTAGTGTTATGTAACTAATACCCAGTTTTAAGCCTAAAGGTTTCCATCGATTGAATGAGTTAGATAACAACCCAAATACAACATCTAAATCTTTAATACCTGTATCATAATTTATCATAAGTTAACTTAATATTGCCATTATTTTGCTTACTCAGAGTACAATTGAGATGCTCTTGAATGATTTCATGTTGCACATCATTATGCATAGCTGGTTCACAGTATAAACCTATTACAGTGATAACACACATTACTTACATCAGTAGCTATTTGGCAAGTGTATAAAACATACTTATATCAGATTTTTGCTGTTCATTTCTCACTAATTCTGTAGTTCTATCATTATCAGACATTTTAAACCTCTTGCCAGTTGTAGAATCATCTTCATTTCGTTTTCTTTTCCTATTTGTCTCATCTGTAAAATTAATAGCAATAATTAAAACTTAAATTTTAAGTACCATCAATAGCGGAAAAGTGATGAGTATTTGTTGTAAGAGTATGCAATGAATCTAAAAACAGAAAATTATAATAATCATTTTAATATGGTTACTAATTGGAATCTTACTTGAAACTTGACTTTTATTATTTAGCATAACAATCTATGACAAATTAAAATTAAAATTAAATTATCATGTATATATACTTTTTTGGACCAGAGTAAATTTTCCTTATCAATATGCATTATATTATCGCTAATACTGCACATTGCCAATTCTTCATTAAACTCAATCACAGCTGGATGATTCATAGAAGTAGCACATGCTGTACATGCTACTCCAAACATATGTCTTGACTTATAAGTGTAATGAAGTGATTGTATCACTGTGTCTAGTCCTTTGTGCAATGATGATAATATCTCATCACAAAAATCACTTGTTGACAACATTGAGCCTTTCATATGTTGAACCCAAACTTCAAGATAAGTAGCACGACTGATTAACATAACAGTATCATAGTATTGCCCGACTTTAAAGGTAATCCTATTACGGTTGTTATTACCCGCTAATTTCCATTTTAGTACTTGATCTGCCTTCTGATCAAGGAGATACACTACTAGACAACAGAATACACCAACAGGAGTATACCCACACTCAAAACATATAAATAACGGAGGTATACTAACTGATACATCGCTCTTCTCTCCTACATCAGCTGGTTTCAGAGCACAGGGCATAAAGTAATAATTGACAACTTTACAATCAACTTCAGTTTTCATGGGGCCAGCTACAATATAAAGGTGCTTCAGTAGTGCTACAAGTCTCTT